AACTTAAGCTGAATCAGTATAAATAAAATTATTCTGTTAGGCTACGTTCACACTGCCAGCCACATCGTTCAATTCCGATTTTTTGCTCAGATCTGATAAGTTCTATATTGACGGTTCACATTCATAACTACAAGTGACCTGTATCTGACTGTAATGTGAACGCATCGGTCCTCCGAAACGTCACGCATGCGCACATTGATACGTTTTTACATGGGTCAACTGCGTCACCAACAACAAAAAACATCATATCTGTGGGACGACTCGTGGCATTAAAAATGGAGGCGTTAGTAGCTCCCGCATGTATTGCACTTTGCTCTGGAGGACGACAAACAGTGAATCAGCTGTACATGAGCAGGTCGAAAAGGAGAAAAAACGTCAGGCGGCTAGCTTTTTCTGCTTTCGCAGTTATTGCTGGAACTGCTGCACCAAGAGATGTGTGGGTACGAGTGGGACCGTGATGTGGATGGATAGACAGATGAGCAGTTTATAGAGAACTTCAGAATGTCGAGGGCTACATTTGAGTGCCTCTGTCAGCGCATGCGTATAAGCAAAAAGCCACATGAATTCCGATCTGAGCGTCACATTCAGGTCACATGGCCGCGAATCGGATATGTATGAGATTTAGTACCACATATGAAAGTGATACAAATCTGATTTGAAAAGATCAGATTTGCGTGTCCACACAGCCCTGAAAAGATCAAATCTGTGTCACATTAAGGCAAAAAATCCAATTTGAGTCACTTCAGCATGGCAGTGTGAACATAGTCTTAGTTTGAGCAGATTACATTGATCATGAGGGAATTGCGATTGATATTTATATTATTTATATACCCATGGGGAATCAATCATCATGCCTCCCTCAACTTGCTCTTTGTAGAATAATTTGTCCACGAAGGCCAGCCACCCATAGTGGCACCCAGGGGTTAAGGGCCTTGCTGAAGGACCTGCAGATGTGCTGAGGCTGGGTTTGAACCAGTGACCACGTGATTACAAGCACACAGGCTTAGCCCACTGAGGCACACGCTGCCCCCAATACTGTTTACTATTATATTTATATATTTACAGTTTTTATGCTGGACATTCCTAATTTAAAGCAACATATTTTTAGCTACAATGCTGAATTAACTTGCGTTAGCATTATTATCGTGTGTTAGCATACATTAGCATTGTTAGCATACATTAGCACGTTAGCATGTACTGCTGCCGGTTAACGCGGCTCGCCGTTCCAGGCCATCAGCCGCTTCCAGGAGTGCTGCGAGGCCCAGCAGCAGTGGAAGCATTTTCACCACATGTGTTACTGGGAGCTGATGTGGTGCTTCACCTACAAGCGGCACTGGAAGATGGCCTACTTCTACGCCGACCTCCTGAGCAAGGAGAACAAGTGGTCCAAGGTGAGAAGCCATTCCTGCACGATGTTCCATTGACGGCTGGAGCAAAGTTCCCCGTGTTTCACACTGACCATATGGTGCCGTTTTGCTTTTCACTCAGGCCACGTACGCCTACATGAAGGCCTCCTACCTCAGCATGCTCAGCCAGGAGGAGAGGGCACCGTTTGGGGAGAACGAGGAGGACCTCTTCAGGTTTGACGCTTCACCAGAATCATCTTGTTTCCCGGCCCCTTGCCGTTTCTTAGTCCGTGGCTTCTTCCTCGTTCCAGACAGGTCCCCCGACTGAAGCAGAAGATTGCCGGGAAATCTCTGCCCACGGAGAAGTTCGCCAGCCGGAAAACCCAGCGGTACCAGGCCGAGAGGCCCCCCCCACTTCCAGCACCCCCGCTGGTAGGCTCCGTCCCTTCAAAATAGGGGGTCACCAAAACCCGGGGAGAACAATCAAGGAGCTCACGTGTTGTTCTCCTGTGTGCACTGCTGGTGTCCTGGGCGGCTCCAGGAGATGATGTACATCTGGAACGGCTACACGGTGATCGGGAAAAGCAGGGATCTGACGGAAGGGATGCTGGACACCCTGAACGAGGCCCAGAGAAGACTGGAAGAGAACCCAAGTAAGATTTAAGTAGAAGGCATGGCGGTACTGCGTCCAGGCTGAAGTCACGGCCTTGTGTCGTGTTACTGTGTGTAATTTAAGGGGAGAGCAAAGGAAACAGTGTCAGCTGTTTAAGTGTTTGCATGTTTACCCAGTGATTGCGTACACCTCCTTTGGGGTTAGGCCATGTCTTTCTGTCCCTAACCACGCTGAGACATCTTCTCAGCTGTGTCTGGGGTGCTGTCAGCCATATGACCGGCTGTCGACCTTTGACCCCACCCCCCTCTCCCGCAGGGACAGAGTATTCCATAGACGACCAGTGCGTGGTGAGCCTGCTGAAGGGCCTGTGTCTGCGACACCTGGGCCTGCTAGAAGAAGCTGAGCATCACTTCAACCTGGTGCTCTGCAAGTGAGTTCACAGGACTAGAAGGGCCAGGGGGTTGTGGGTTCGCATCCTCATCGTGCCACCATGAAATCCTAACCTGTTTCTTTACATTTTTTGATAGTGAAAACCAAATCAAATTCGACCAATACTTGGTTCCAACTGTGCTCCTGGAACACGCCCTCCTGTACATGGAGCAGGGGCGCAGCCAGGAGGCTGTGAAGCTTCTGGAGTCTGCAAAGTAAGACCCTGCCTGGGGGGAGGCGTTTCCCCCGCTATCAGAAAGTAGAACCTTCCTATGAAACCTTTCGGTGGCTAAAATAGCATAAAGCGAAGATGCAGTTACCGTTCATTTATATGGGAAAAATCCTGAGCGTTCCCAGTCTGAAAATATAACCAACCACATTATACCAAATGAGACGCAACAGCTAGAATAAGACTAACAAGCAGGAATGATATGGTAAATACACAGGGCTTATAATGTAGAAATAATGTATGTACAGTATAGCTTCATTTACCAGAATCCATACAGTCATGCCCCGCTTAAGGACAGGGATACACTCTGAGAAACACGTCGTTAGATGATTTTGCTGTTGTGAGAAAATCATGGGGTACTTAACCCTAGAGGGTATAGCCTACTACAGACCTAGGGTACATGGTGTAGCCTGAATAATGATAAAAAGGACAGTATCGTAAAAGCGTAAACCAGTAACATAGTTGTTCATTGTCATTATGAAATTGCACATCCTATACTTCTATACCACTGGCAATGCAGTAGGTTTGTTTATAACACCATCACCACAAATATGTGAGTAGTGCGTTGCACTATGACCCTGTTAATCTTATGGGACCACTGTCATATATGCGGTCCGGCGTTGACCGAAACGTCATTATGTGCCGCATGATCATATATCTATAATTTGCTTGCACATTAAATGCTAAATGCTATTTTCGCTTTTCTCTTTTTCTCATAAAAGCAAAAATCCTCTTCGGGTTTCTTTCGCTTAGCAAAAATAGGTGCTAATGTAGGTCTTCCATAAAAACCAAGTGGCATAAAGCGAACTTTCGTACAGCAGGGAATACCTGTAAATATATACCTGTAAATATATACCTGTAAATATATACCTGTAAATATATGCTTAAATACATTGGCTGATTAACGTTTAGTGCATTTTAGTTCCTTGTAATTCTCTGTAAGCCTTTGAAGTCTGTAATCTAATGAAGGATGTGGTTCATGTCAGTAAAGGTGTCAATTGGCTGTCTGTGCTGTGGGAGCCATGGGATCCCTAACTCACCTGCTGTCATGTGTTCTCGCTTTCAGACAGAACTATAAGAATTACTCCATGGAATCTCGGACACTCTTCCGAATCCAGGCCGCGCTGCAGAAGGCTCGGGCCTCGCAGGCAAACGGGCTTCCCTGAACCCTGTCTGGCCCGTAGCTTTTGGGTCTGTCCTGAGGGGCGGGGCTGCTCAGGAGCCTGGGCACCCGCCGCCAGAATCACACCCTGATTGGCTATTAGGAATCCTGCAAGACTCGCATCCTTTTATGTCTAATTTTAGATTTATAACTGTGATTTCATTGCATTGTTTTTTATATAAACTCAAATGAAATTACAAGATTGATGCTTAGAAACACAACCTCACCTTGTCACACAGATACTCCGTGAATGACACTGAGGAAAGTTCTGGAAATACCATTAATACACACATCCAGTCATTAGTGTTTGGTGATGGCAAAGAGGGTCAACAACACTTTACTTGCCACTAGGAAACCAGTAAACTGCACATGATGGATAATTAGGAGAAAATAGACAGTTAGTTTGACGTGTGTCGTCACAGGGGCTCACTCTCATGGACAGGTGGGCCCTGTGTTTGGCTGTGTGACACTATCCTTCCTTAAAGTAATAAACCAGTCGTATCACATAGTAACAGTGTAATTTTCTCCAAGGTCAACTGAAATACATATTTCTTGCATACCTCTTTTAAATAGCAAGAAGTGTTAAATTACCCAAGACAGATGTTAAATTAGCACAATTACTTGAAAACGTAAACGCATTTTTTGCGATCTATCTTAAAAATGTAAAAATGCATTTCAAATTACAACAGAGGTACAACATTACTAAGATCTAGCCTGTAGATGGGAGTTTAGCCTGTAGATCAGCGTTAAACGCCCTAACTCGAAAATGCACAGTTATTAAAAGATTTATGAATATGCGCAGTTATTGGAAGATTTGTGTGTAATTGGTGACTGAGGGGGTTGTGTGTGTTGGGGGCGGTCACTGTAAATTCTGTGCGGTTTATGTAGGTTTTTAAGTTATTTGGTTTAATTACGAACATAAGAGAATATATGAGGTAATCTGACTCATGTCTGTCATGTGTTTTAAGGGGTTAAGAAATAGTTTTAATTTATTTTGGGTTTTGGATTACACTGTAGAAAGAACTGATTAAAATGTAATTAAAGTACAGGTTATATACATGCGTGGTCTCTCCTTGCTGTGCATAAAGCTGGTAATGTAATTTAAATGTTACATTTTTAAATAAAGATGGTACTATAACCCGTTTTGCACCTTTGTCTCCCCGTATACGTAACAATCCAAAGGCATTTAGTATGCCAGCAATCGGAGCAGCTACATCGGAGCCGTGTCCTTTCAGGCAGGTACATACAGGCACACACCTGTAACATGTCACGTTAAGGCAGTTCATCTTGCGCTTAAGCAGAGCCGACATGGCCGGCCAGCCTGCGGGCCACTTTCCCGGAGCTGGGACGCTGTTATCGCGTTGAATGAACCGGCAGTCTGTGTTGCAACGAGGCTTATTAGTCACTTTCCGTGAAAGGAGAGCTACATTTGGGGGAAGGCATCCGGATTGCGGGTGGATGAGAGGGGGTTAGTTATAAAAACCAGAAAGCCAGGAGGCCAGCTACACGGGAGTCAGGAAATGGGGAACTGCCTGAAATCCCCAACTTCGGATGATATCACCCTGCTGGCCGAATCCCAGGCGGACAGAGACGGACATGCAGACGGCACGGAGCGGGACCGGGAGCCACCTCCGGCATACCAGGTAACAGCGTAGGGTCCGGGCTGCGTGATCTAGGTGACAGTCAGACACTGTCATCTCCATGCATTGGACAGAGCCATCTGTGCTTTTTGGGATGCAATTAGTGTTTAGTCTGTACGCACTAAAAGTTTGCGGTTATCGATCTGCTTTTCGCGTCCCTGAAAAATCTCGTTGCTATCTCTTTTCATTTTCTTTGTCTTACTTGAAAGCTCCAGAAAACCACTTACGATACATAGCCTAGATATATAATACATATTTAATCTAATTATTTATGCGTTTAGAGTCTGGAAAACATGCTAGCTAAAACAGAAACCTCAGTGACAGTAGGAAGATTTTATTTTTTTTGTGGAAAAGCCCAAGTTGTGTCTTCCGCTTGCTGTCATTCTTTATATTAACACACACAATGATCATGGTAAATCATTACCTACATACAGAGTTTCTGTCTTAGATTAGTTTGTAATATTAAGATAAAAATGAGGCAGTCGTCCGGTTTTTAAAGAGATCAATTTTTCTGGGTTCTTCCGCCATTACTTTAGTATTTTGACGCCTTTTATTTAGCATGAACTTTGCTGTAAATCGGCAGAAGGATCCGTTTTATTAGTTGATTTTACAGAATCAGTATACGAATCATTTCCAGAAATTTTTATCCCTTGTTCAGACATGTACCGGTACTTTTGTAGCACATACAGATAACCAAATAAATATCGAGTTTTTATTATTCTTATTAATGCTAATGATAATCATTTAAACAACTTTAGCATAAACGTAGGCTACGTGAATACCAGGATGATTTTTCCTTATGTGTAAGAATATTTTTTTTAAAAAAAACCTAAACGACTCATTTTATAATTTCTCTTTTTTTCTATTCCAATGAAACCACTAAATGAAGACGCTACGATCAGTTTTATCCATGCAATATGCATGTTTTATGTCTCTGTTTTAAGGTATACAACAACGTGTCAGATAATCTGCATTTTTAATTCTTGCATTTTTTTTAATTATTTTTTTGCAAAATTAAATATTTCATTACATTAGTAAGTGCGACAGGAAGAGTAAAATAACAAAATAATAAACAAAATCAAAGTTCAATGATAACTTTTATTAAAGTTTCGGTGTAGATGTCTGTGAGTAATTCTCGTGTTTCATTGCATTGGTTGGTGCCGTCATTTGTCTGGTGAGTCATACATGAATCTTATAACTTTACTTCTTTATGTTTCTCGCTGGAAAAGAGGAAAATTAGTCTTTTTGTTACGGTTTTCCGTAAATCGCTGGAACAGTTGTGTGCCTGGGTTTCATAATGTCCATTGTGGTCTCTCTGCAAGTGATTGGTGGACTTTGCAACAGGAAAATCTGAACGCATTAAACGGGATGAATACCACTGTGAAGATTCCTTTTATAATGGCTTTTTATCTTAACTCTCTGGGTTGATGTTCTCCTGAACAAAAGCAGCGTGTTCTCCAATTGTGTCAAGCATAAATGTATCCTGCCTTGAAGATTTTTCACTATAGGAACTGTGGATTTAACCCACAAATTGGCATCGTCATTGTTATTAATGCGACAATGCTGCTACCAGTATTACGGGTCAGTTGCTTGACGCTACATTCTGATGTTTATGAAGATCGTTAGAACTGATGGATGATTGATTTCATGTAATACATATTTATAATCAATAAAATCATACACATTCATGGAGCCCGGAGACTCTTGGGGAAAACAAGCTTATAATTTTTATTTCAAATGGATTATGTATTTTGATTTTGGAGTCACAAATGAATTATCCAGGACGGCTGATTGAGAAGGGTCAGCTGGTGACTCATCCCAAAGCCCAGGGAAGAGACCAGCGCCGTCTCACTGCTAGGAACAGAATAGCGACCAGCCCCCGATCTGTTGCTTTGGAGATCACAGATGGCCCTCTTCTAACGGGGGTCTTTCCGGCATTTAGCGTTCAGCTGGCGTGGGCAGACGGATGACGAGATGTCGGTACGCATGGTGATCCAGGTATAGCTCACAGCCCTGGAATCCTTCACACTTTTTTTAAGCCCCTATTCCGTAGTTCTTGGGCGGCTGTGATCCCGTTCTATTTCCTGCGAGTTTCGACATGGTTCAGTTGTTTCCAGCTTCAGCGTCTTAACTGGTCAGCTGGTCCACTGTGTACCTGCTTCAACCTGCTTCAACCTGGGGAGAGTCATCATTTTCCGAACTCCTCCTGATTCCCAGACGGCATCCTGCTGCCTCCCAATCCGTGCTGGGAAAGCTTATGTCCAAGGCACTACGGGCGAGCGAGCCTGTGTGTGTGTGTGCACGCATGGCACTGAGGCTTGGCTTGGCCTGACAGGATGCCTTCCTGTGTGTAGTGGTGTAAGCCTCTCTGCGTGGGTATCCATGGCTTGCCGGTTCAGATGAATATGGATCAGCCAGTTTTCAGTGCAGTCAGCCATGATGCCCTCCTGTGTGCTGCAGGTGTAACAGTCCATACAAAATGGCTGCACAGAGCATCCCCAAGATGGGGTGTCATCTTCCACGGAGTACAGAATGGGTGAATCTCAACACCAAGAATGCAAAGACCATACTTGTGGTCTTGGCAAGACCGGTCTTGCTAACTTGTTTCCAAGAATTTGGGGCACAGTGAGTCATGAGATTTATCTCATTCGGCGAGGATGCAACCAATGTATCCTTGATATTTAGGGCGGAGAAATGGGGATTTTTACCATTCTCTATACTTGTGTTCTTAGTATTGGAACTGGTCTTTGGCAATGGAAGATGATGTAAAACGGGTACATGAGAACACAAGTACGGTCAAGTATGCATACTGAGATTCACCCAATGTCCACTGCTTTTTTTAGTTTACCTTCCAGTTAGAGATCAGAGCATTAGGTAAACTCAGATCGCATCCTAATAAAAACCCAAGTAATTAGGAGCTGAGCTAGTACATAATCCATGCTGGGACTGAAAATGAGGACATTTCACTTTGACTTCCTATGGCTGTATACATATCACCACTGTACTCAGCATTTCCAAGTCATAGAAGCTTGTAAAACTCAAGGGGTGTGACTCGCTATGACATAACAGCGTCAGGTGTAAAGGCGCCAATGCTCCTCCCCCAGATGCCCGTGTACCACCCCGTGCCCGGCCAGACGCTGCTGGCCAGCCAGCTGACGGAGGACGAGCAGGTGCGGATCGCCAAGCGGATCGGCCTCCTCCAGTACCTGCCCCGGGGGGTGTACGGTGTCTCCGGGGACGGCTCCCACAAGATCAGAGAGTGAGTGCTGCCTGTTAAAGCCTCTCTTAATTTGTTTTGAGTTCCTGTCATACCCTGGGTTTGCTAATTGATGACCCCCCCCCCCATGTGGCTGTGCAGGTGTGTGATCTGCATGATGGACTTTACTTATGGAGACCCAATCCGCTCGCTGCCCTGCATGCACATCTACCACGTGGACTGCATCGACGACTGGCTGACACGCTCCTTCACCTGTCCATCCTGCATGGAGCCTGTGGACGCGGCGCTGCTCACCTCCTATGAGAACAACTGACACTCTCCTTCGCTCTTGTGTAACCACGCCCCCCCCCCTGAGGAATGCCCAATCCCCCATGTCCTAAGGAGGCGGGTTCAAATGTAGCTTTCGCAATCCTCCAAGACCCGCCTTCCTGGATAGAAGCGGGGCTTTGTGATGTCACTCTCCCACAGGCCCGCTGGCCAGGATGTCCTGCTGGGAAGGGGAGGAGCCAGTGACCATGACTGACAGATGCAGCCACAATTAGCAGAGCGTCTGATTATCACTGAATAAAGGGGAGTCTCTGTGCTTCTTAGCATCTCGCTTGGTCTGGCTGTGTCCAGGATGATTGATTAGCTTTCCAGCACAGCTGACTTCCCCAGAGGGTCTGTTGTGAATAAGGGCTCGAGTTGTTTACAGACTAAATATGCATCTGTGTCTCAGACAATGAGTATTTGCACATTCATCTATATTATATAGAGAAATTTGCACTTCTGTCTGGACACTAAAGCCACATTTGTATGAAGAAAATTTGTTTGTAAAAAGAATACTTGTCACATTGTGGTATGAGGGTTTTAATGGTGCTTATCACTGTGTTACCTAAAATTGTTGTTGGTTTTAGGCTGGTGGGGGGGAGTGGGGGGGCGGACAGGGTCCTTTTAACTGGAAAAATCTTTGACAATTTAGCAAATGCTTTTGCCAAGGTGACGTACAACTGGGGATCAGACAGCAGAGTCAGACAGTCCCTGAAGCAGTTGGGGTTAAGGGCCTTGCTCCAGGGCCCAACAGTGATGTGATATTACTCCTGCCAGCTACGGGATTCAAACCAGCAGCCTTCTGGGAGTGGGTACCAATCCCTCTCCACCTGAGTTACACGCCACCCTTCACTTGTGAACATTTTAAAACTTTTTTTTTTTTAATCATATTTTTCAATTTCACATTTCAAGTACAATTCCAATTATTGTTGAAATCCAGATCTGTCATGCACCATATGCACAAAACTTACGTTTTAAAAAGAAAATTATTTTTCTGAGAATAAAATGATCCATCCTTTTTATAATTTAACAATGAATATATATTAATGGGACTGAATACAACTTATTTTTTGTCTAAATTTGACAATCTCCTGTACTGTACAGCCCTTTCCTGTAAGGAAATGTCCTTCTTTCATCATTGTGTATTTATATACATGCCGTACCATATGAAAAAGTGAAAAAAATATTCGCCATTTTATCTTGATAAAAATGCATTTTCTCGGTTTATCCATTTCACGTTTTCCCTGCTTGTATATAGATATTAACTTCTTATCACCATTAGTTTGACAAACGTATTGCGACTGGTTGTGGTAAAGAAGAGAGCACTTTCCTCATTGTCGGTGAATAAAGGTCTTTCTATATGTCCAGATTTTCTGTCCCTTTTGGATACGTTTTCAGTCGAAGGAGATTTCTGTTGGTCTTGTTTATCAAGCTTAGGGAATTTTTATGGGGTACTGGAACAACAGCAGGGTGGTGACAGCCCCACCAAAGATATACGGTCCACTACATTATTTGGAAATGTGTAATCGCCATCCGTATGTGCGCCTCAAAGAGAAGCGACTGTCCAGCCAAGTTTTAATGTCTGTGTTGTGCAGTTTTTCATTAAATATGGACATCCATCCCTCCGCACCCTCCCCAATAAAATCTTTTTCAAACACGTAACCCCCCAGATTATTTTCTTTGTAGAAGTAATATATAAATAAGGTTGCAGAGCCGTGCCATAAATCATAATTCATTTCAAAAGTCACTTTCTATTAAACCAGTCTACTAAAAACCAGGCAGCTCAGCAATCCGTCATTAGAATTTAAGGCCAATGCTCATTTCGCAAATTTCCCAGGTTTACAAGGTCACTGTTTCCTTTATTATTTTGTGCCAGATAGATTTTGTGATGCTGATCATAGGAATAGCTTCAAATTTTTCACATAAGTTTTTTGAGAAATGGCCAATTTTGTTATAATTATTGTAAAATGTGTGAAACACGGGTATTTCGCATAACACTGGTCAACAAAAACAACTAAGGGTTGTCTGTTATGAACTTCTAAATTCTGATTTAAGAAATGCACTCAGAATTTTGCTCTCACCCATATTTTTTTAGGCTGTATTGATAGCATATAAGGGGCGGCCCGGTTGTGCAGTGGTTAGTGCTGTCACCTCACACCTGAGTTTGCATGTTCTGTCTGTGTCATCATGGGGTTTCCCCCCAGGTGCTCCTGTTGGCGCCCCATCCTGGGTTGTTCCCCCCAGGTGCTCCTGTTGGCGCCCCATCCTGGGTTGTTCCCCCCAGGTGCTCCTGTTGGCGCCCCATCCTGGGTTGTTCCCTGCCTTGTGCC